ACACACACACACACACACACACACACACACACACACACACAGTATTATGGTCACAACATAGTCACATTGTTTGCGCGAAAGAGAACCACAACAACTTCTGATGTGGGGATCTGTGTTTCCTGTTGATAGTTTGTACTCTACCAGTGGAACTCAAATAGAGTGTTGCAAACAGCAGACACATCTGCTGTTATTATCGTTGTCTGTTTGGGATATGGATTATACGGTGCAAAGATTACATGGAGAGCAGTCCACTGTAGCTGATTTAGAACTTAATCTAGAGGATTTAAAAAGTCAAAGTTTAGAGCCGCAATATATGTGCTTTTTATTGTTTTCACCGTCAACAAATCCCGTGAAAAGACTAAACCAGCAGCGGATTGACACCAAAAGTATAGTTTTTTTCTGAGCCGCTGGGGGATGACCCCAAAAGAGTGACGAGGAACTCTGTGACCTCGAGGCTGAGCATCACAACAACAGACAGCTGGTCCAGATATCAGACATTACTGCTCAATGTTCTGAAACAGGAGAGTGGAGATGTGATAAAAGGAAGCCTGGTAGTCACAATCACTGAAAAAAACAAACATGAAACATTCCGATTACATTATCAAGTCTCCACAGACGGTAAACAAGTACACTTATTCCCGTGCTACACTAAAGTGCAATGAATTTGAAATTACATTTTATATTACTACATTTCAGAGGCAAATAATGTACTTTTTACTCAGTTTATTTTATTTGACACCTAAAGTTACTACTTACTTTGCAGAATTTAAAAAAACGTTAATGACAATATATAATATAAACCCGACATTTCTGATAATGAAATAGTTAAAACAGCATCAGTCAGCAATGATCACCACACAAAAGACATTTAAAATTGACGCTCAATGATGATTTCACAATACTTATTTTTCAAAGATATTTTATTGCACTTCAGGAAATTATGTTTTGTTGGAATTGATTACAAATTAGATGACAGCATTATAACAATACTGTAAGTTGTTTTTAAAAAGGTTCAACTATATGCTCCAAGTCAAATTAAATATCACATATTTAACATTTGTCATTGGTTTAATGGTCATCTTAGCTGGTAACATGCTAGAATAACAGAGATGGCAGTGCTCTTTATTACAAAACATCATCCAGGTAATAGTCCATGTATATAATTGAAAAAGTATGAATATAAAATATATTTGATATGTTAGAAAAGAAGTGAAGTGATAGAAGGCAGATTTTGTTGCCATGAGAGAGCTGATTTCCCTTTTTCATTCTTTATGCTAAGCTAACAAGCTGCCGGTGGCAGCTTCATATTCACCATACAACCATATATTTTTGGCTCGATAAAGATTCCCGAGTAATGCAGCAGTAGAGACGATTTATTTATGAGTAAATATCAGACGGCCATGACGAGAGCAGTGCCTCAGGCTCCAGTCAGCTGAAAAGCTTCTAGACTTTCATCGTGTACACACTGCAAGACTTTTAGTGTGCACATTCATAAACAGAAGTGCAGATCAGTGCCTGGCTCCTCAGAGTGGCCCTCATCATCTTCTCGTCTTTGTCTGTATTCACAGTGAAGACATACGGTCTGATCTTCTCATGGCTGACGGCGACACTTTAAGGTTTTGATTTTGGTCCAAAATTACGTTTTTGAAAATGTCTTAATGTCATATTTTAATGTTTGAATCCCCTTTAGTATTCAGATTAGCAGCCGTGAGCGAATGTGTCCTGAACCATGAAAAGAAACAAACCGTTGTTCTTACAGTGTGAATACAGCTGACGTTTCAACCTCCATCTTCTAATGATAGCTGGATTGATGTTGCGCCCCTTTTCCTCCTTGATGGCCATTCTTAATGCAGTTCTTCACCTTCTCCGCCACCTGGTCACATGAAACACAAAAGCATTTTTATGACTTATTTTTAACAATGCAACTCTGGTCCAACTGATGGATGCATTGCCATGACATTTCCCCATCACTTTGGTAATCCTCATCTAGCGCCATCATCAATACTTTGGTTTACAACTAAATGAGCTTCAGCTGGACATTAAATAACATCAAACTGTTTATTTTGGAATATGAAATAAAGTTGATTTGAATGAAAGTCAAATTGCTGATGTATATTATATTGATGTGTATCCCATCAGTAACCAGAAAGGTGACCAAAGAGTCTTGATCCTGGTATTCCCCCTGTAGTTTTCTGCAAACGACAGGCCACCGAAACAGAAGCTAAACTATAGATCATCTGATGCCAAATCTTACCAGGCACATTAAGTGTGGAGGGTGAGTCACACAAGGTGAAAACAATACAAGCATCGCAGTCGTGCCTGGTAATTACGTCAGGTTCCTCTAGTCTAAAGTGGGTGTGGAGCCCAAACCACAAGTTGCAGTAGCCTGTAACGCACTGCTTTGAGGAAGCAGTCAGGTGTAACATGGCTTGTGAAAGTATTGTCAGACTGCTTTAAGTTTTTGCACCAAAAGAAAAAAAAGTTTTTCTACATTGTTTTTGTTTGTTGAGCTGAATGTTATGAAAGTTATGATAAAAAAAGAAGATAGTAGATATCTATCTCACTAACACACTAACCTCTTTAGGATCAGGAAACTTTCCCTTCTGAAGCTTGGAGAAGATCAGCTGACCATTCACCTTCACCTCAAAGCTTCCTGTGCGTGTGCGTGCGTGTGGGGGGGGGATGCATCAGTGTCAATTCATTATAATGTAGTTCAGTACTTACACATGATCAGCATCAATATGTTAATAGAGTTGACATATAAACAACCCATGTATTCTTTTGACCTATAATAAGATATAATTGAACTGGAACAACTGGCTTTTTTTTTTTTGAAGAGAAAGAAAGAAAAAGCAGCTTCATGTTACCTGACCGCCCGACTTGTCCAGTCACCTTTACACCAGGAATCCTCTCGAGCTCACCGGCTAGTGCCCTGTAGCGGGATGAGTAACCTCATCCGCCACTGGAACACAAAAGAAAACACATTAACTCTTAAACACATGAAGGACGTACGCACGGGTCAAAGTCAAAATCTATAGAATTTGAAGCTAGAGTTCAACGCAAATACAAGTAGCTTAATAGATAAACTGGAAAATGAAGCTGTCGGCTACAGTCGCATACGAATATGTGGTATACGGATATATTACGCATGCAACTGCAACAGGAACTACGCCCAAATTTCAAATCAGAAATGAATCTACAACCCAACTTTAACGAGTTAATTGCAGTCTGTCCTAACCACAGGAGTTATCAGCACAGTATGATGTTGTAAATGAAACTTACCAATATTCAATAAACACCGTAGCCATGGTTCTGCGGCTGATTTGTATCGGCTGAGCCTGGAGGTGATGCAGAGCTGAACAAAGCGTCAGTCCGAAGATGAACGGAAAATAAAGTGCAAGTCATGCTTGTTGGGACCATTATACGAGTACACACACACACCCAGTGGGAGGGTAAACCAGTCCGTACAGTCTATGAATCATACTTGGCTACCAAATTCAAGTTTATTTCCTGTTCTCTCTCTCTCACAGTATGAAGCAAGCCAACTCTGAAATGTTAAGTTAAGTCAAACCAGTGAAGTCAAATAAAGAGGATGTTCTCTGAAGTCTTTAGTGCAAAATTCACAGTTGATGTTAATCTGCTGCAGCTCAGCAAGGAAACACTGTGGAGGAAGAAGCAATGTACACATGGACAAGTTTGTGTTGTGTAAAGATGCACTTGAACAATGTGAACCTGTCCTTAAAAAAAAAAAAGAAAAAAAAAAGTGCTGTACAAATGCAAAATTCATAACAGATAACCAGCAGTGTCCTCAGCTCAACCGTCACTATCTCACAGGTGAGCGGCCTATCGGTTTGCTCCGAGGCAGCTGAACAGAAGTCGTTGTGTGTGGATTCAAATAGCAGCAGCTGCTGTCCGACTGAAGAATCCGAGGCCTCTGTTCAAACACCAGACTCATTGTCTCCTTCTGCAGGCAGACGGGCAACAATCCTCCAGCCCCCCTTCATCGACAGGACTGCTCTGGTGATGATGGGCTCAATGAGATGGCAACATTTTGAATTAATATCTGCTTAATAGCGATAGCCAGGTTTATATATCTCGACCAACAGCCCAAATATCCAAAATAAGTGACAAAGAAAAGCAGGAAATCTCACATTTGGGCCCAAATGATATTTGTTATAAGGACTTCAAAATAACCCAAAATACTCAAATTTAAACTGAACATTTGGAATAGTTTGTTTCTTCTTCACAGCCCACTACTAAACATCCATTAGCTTTAAACAGAATATTGGCCATGCATTGAAACAGTAATTCTTTCAAGACCTGAGCAATGTTGCTAAAGCTTTTTTACATTTTTATTTGTTTAAAATGATGTCCAGTACAAAATGTATACAGCAATACCCTTACGTCTGTCAGTTCCTCTGAATAAAATATTTTAATCTGTTCAGCTCATGCCAGATAACAGTATCTATAAGATACACTAGATTGTAATTTGCTCATACGTTAGTTGATGACAACCATATAGCAATAGTACCTTTGTAACAATAAAAACTATCTGCAGTATTTTGGTGGACACACTTTCAATACAATAAAATGACATACATCGTTCTGTAAAAGTTGCATTGCAATCTGCCCATATTTTTACAAGATTTTCAAATTCATGTAGATCTGTTCATTAACTAAAGCGATAAAAGGTTGTGATACAAGTCTTTACACATTTATAAAAATGATCTGGTGACAAACCGCATTGTTGCAGTGACTGAGTCTCAGCAGGCTGTCCTTCCTGAAGCTGCTGTAACAGATGTACAATGCACTTAGATTTCATCTTTTTTCTTTTTTTTGTTAAAACAAGGCAACTTCTCAAACTTTGTAATAAATAATAAACCCTCTGCAATGATACTGTACCTGTCGATATATCCTGTTCTCATATATATATATATATATACACATATATATATATATATATATATATA